TGTTGAAGTTTTTCTAATTCTTGTGCATTCTCCCTGGCTTAATCTTCTTGTCTGTAATTGTTATCGTTCGCAATCTGTTTCTGTTGACTTTTTTCTCGATGTTGTTGACAATTTTATTTGTAAATCTTTCTCTCTTTCTCCTCATCTGGTGTTATGTGGTGATTTAAGTTTGAATTTTCTTATGTCTTCTAAAATGTACACAGTCCTTAATCTTTCTAACTCTATCTTGCGTTCTTTTGGTGATTTTCCTGTAACTACTACTTCTAATACGTGTATTGACCATATCCTTATCCCTTCTTCTTGGAACAATAGGCTTCATGCAAATACGATGTATATGTGAGAGTGGAAATTGGAATTTAAGAGAATTCGGATTCCACTAGTGGAAATTAGAATTCCAAATTTCCACTATAGGGGAATTCCGAATTCCACTACAAATTAGCACTAGTGGAAATTAGAAATCAGCGGTAAAATCAGCGGTAAGTAGGCTTTTTCGATAGTAAAGTTCGTCTGTTCAGGCTCACTTTATATGTGCGGGTAGCCCTTAGTTAGAAGAACATTTTTTGTTACAAGATCATATCGTGATTTTTTACTTTGGGTAGCAGTTACAACCTTTTTCTGACAACAGATAAAAACGCCATGTATTTGAATGAAGCGGTCATAAACAGAAACAAAAAATCGCTTGACTGCCATATTTGAGAACAGTTCGTATTTATGGCAGGCCATGTAGTTTGCTCTGTGGCGAAGATGAAGGTGAAAGCTCGATCTGTTTTCGATAAAAAATAGTATCATTCGATTCCTCGTTATCAGAGGAACATTGTTATATATTTTGCTTTTAAAACATTTTAATTTTGTCCGTCAAAAAAAAGTATTTTTCTTCGAGGCTCTAAAAAAAGTCGTATATTTGATATCATTGTAATTAAGTCAAACTAAATTATTTTTGAAAAGTTTTTACACAGTTGGATAGATAATTGTCTCCTACATCCCAGAATCTAAAATTCCCTTTTATCACTGGAAAAATGACTGAGAAAATCGTGATTTACGAAAAAGACAACAGTCTGAATATATGTTATATATATATATTAGGCTTCATGCAAATAAGATGTAATCGAATGTTGAGCTAAGACTGAGGTAGGGTTCCTTTTTATTATATCCTTTTTTTTTCATACGAGTCGTTTTTTCTCGATTTGTTTCTCCTGTGTATACTGAATCACAATTGTTGCATCTGACACGATATACTAGTTTCTTGCTTTTCTCAGTTTCATCGATATCTTTTTGCAATGGAAGAAAGATATTTTTCAATGTGCATGGCTTTTTGAAGGCAATATTTATAGTTACATGTGGTAATAATTTTTTGATTTGTGATAAAATCATGGATTCTTGCCCGTAATAAGATAGTATAAAAAATAGTAGTAAAAAAAAACCATTGCAACCCCATCTTGTTGAATATAGTTTTCATTTTGAAACCGAAAAGGAATATTGATGACACTTAGTTCTAATAACTTTTTTAATTGTTGACGAGCATATGGGTAGTAGAATTATCTTTATCTTTGAATATAATATCCAGAGTGATGCTAATCGCTTCATGTACAGGGAGGAACGTTGGTATGAAGAGATTGCTCACCATTATTTCATTTTTGTTAGATTTTAAGTTTATAATTTTCTTTACAAATTCAAAACTGTCTTTTATATACGAAGATGGTTTTTGTCGTTCATTTGTGATTATTTGCGCTAGGTGTTTTGATAGGTTATAATTATATGTACAGAGGAGATGATAGGACGGATCGAATAGTTTGTTTTGTGTACTTTCGGTTATCCATAAAAGACAGAAGTTGAGGAACATGTTGAATGTAAGTCAAAAAATGTCTTTTAATCTATCACATTTTGTGCATATAGTGCTCTTATATATTTATTATAGTTTTGTCCGATATTTCCGTTACTTAATACATTTAACTTCTTCTCGTGGATTTTCGTTGTTCTATTGTTTTCATATTTGGCTTTTTCAAAAATGAACTGTTTTAGATCGTTATGATCATTTAATGATAACTTTAGCTATAAACTATTTTGTATGTCTTTTCAGTCTCATCGAATCTTTATAACGACTTTTGTATTCTAATTGAATACATTCTCTTTGATACGAATGATATTTTCCTTGAGATTTGATTTCATTTTTCCACATTTTGAAACGAATGAACTTAGGTGTTAAATTGTAGATAAGTGTTAATCTCAAGAATTCACAGTCGCATTTGCTCTTTTGGTACTTTATTGATAATTTCTCAAGACGTCGGATAGATAAGAATATAAACTCGATATATGATCGATCATATGGATAAGATGTCTACTTAATTGTCTAATTTTCTGTTCTTTTTCTTTTTTGTACTCTTATTGAATCAAATCTGGCGTCATTCGTTTATTCTGATGATGACGAGTGAACATCATCGAAATATCAATAATAAATCAAAATAATAGCACTGTGATTTGTATTAATCATGTTTGTAGCAGTTTTGTATTTCTTACTAAGTTTTTTCAATATTACTGCTGTTTTTAAAATATTTTAAGAATTATACATTAACAGTATTTTTGATAACTTATTAATGGATTGTTAGTTTACTTTCACAGGTCCATGATTACGACTGTCGTAAACTATCGTGTAGTATGTTGGATACGACAGAAAACAGTATAGTAATTTGACATGTACGCGTCGTAATCTCACGTGCAGTATTATGATGTTATATTTAATCAGCAGGAAAACGACAGTATTTCATCGTAAGCTATCATGTTTCACCGTATTTCGTCTCAAATAGTCGTATTTGGGCCTATTTTTATATTTTAATTTTCCAATTAAATTTTCAGAAGTTTTTCTCACCAATATTTTCCCGTCCAGAACATGTCCAGACGTGTCCTTAAATGGTACTTGCATAAATTTCGTAAAATGAAAAACTATAATTTTTCCTTAGAATTGATCATTCTTTTATACTCTCCTAGTAACAAAATGGTGGATGAGAAAAATACACACGATGAAAATACGGCACGTATATGACAGTTTACAACAGTCGTTTACTTTTTGTGTAAAAATTTTTGAAAATAATATTTCATCGTAAATCGCTGTCGTAAGAGAATCATATTTCATCGTATTTGAAAGGATACTGTCTTTTACCGGCTGGGAGCTTGGACCTGGGTTGTTTCACTTTCTTATCTGCTTTTAGAAATATGACAGGCTGTTGTAGTTTCTTTAATCGTTTTGAACAGTTAGAAAAATACATACTTAAAGAAACAGTACGAAGAAAGATCTTTGTAAAGTGCAAATCAAAACCGTCAATGCAAGAGCGAAATTAAATATAGTATAAGACTGTTTGCCGATCATGTTCTTCAGAATTCGTATGAATTTTGTATTGAATTACGAATACGTTCGTGTCTAAGTGATGGCCACAACTGCGATACCAAATAATACTCGCAACATGAGCACAACACTCTATAGTTCTTTCACCCGTGTTGCATTTACAGTACTAATAATCGATGATCGAATTATCAAGGAAACATTGAATCCATACGTAATATTTTGTGCTGTTACAATGCCGACTGCGAGTTGCGCATCGTATTAGATTATCTTTGTATGGCTTTACTTCAATGTAATATTTTTCATCTTCATTCAGATCCTCAGCGGTACCTAGCGCTCACTTTGCTTTAGTTAATACACGCCGTAAAATAATGACCGTAATTCATCAAGTTGAAGGATAGGAAAATCAATATCAACTTCATCAAAATGTTAGTTGCTGAATCGATTCAGTACAGTCTAGTCAACGCAGTTTTATATAGAGAACAGGAATATAGTCTTGGTTTTGAAAGTGATTAAGAGAAAATGAAAACATATGATAAATTCAAGTCTGTATCTAAACGTTAAAAAAAATCGTATCTCATCATGTTGGACGCGATTTTTGATGAAATTATCAGGATAATAACAAGAACATCTTACGAATGCTTTTAGCATTAAATTATTTGGTAACGTTGTATAAAAACAAAGTTACAGGCATTTTTTATATAGTCTCTCTATGATCATGGAGCACTTTGACAAACTTATACTAAACAAATAGGTGTTAAGCAGATTTAGAAAACGCTTTTTTCAGGGTAGTGTGTATCTTACTCTTTTCTGTTCGCTGCCCGTTATCCCAAAGAACAAAATAAGCTGGTTAGATTTGTCGTCAGCCAGGCTACACACCTCACTCATAAACTATTGATAACATAGGATGCCAGATTTTGAAGGAAATCCGGTGAGGTCCTTTGTAAAGATTGTTGTTATAACTTTTGATGACTCTCAATTTTCGTGAATAAATTAGTCTTGGATTATGAAAAACTTTTTTTTACAGACCCTCTCCTTGGAGTCTGTCAGCATTCATTTCTGATGAAATCATCTGATAGCAAAAGATGATGGAGTGCATCACTTTCGATATTGTACTAGGAGTGATTCATACGTAATAACAGCGTGTGATGTAAAAGCAAGCTCATAAGAACGAAGAAACTCATTTGAATGAGTCATTTGAAATGAGTTTACTTTTTACTTCACTTTTTATCGGATCCACCATAACAACGGAGTTATATGTGCTGCTGCTTCTAGACCTCGATGATTCGTTTTCAAATGCGAAATATTTTTTTTAATGCTTATTTCAATGAACGATTTTATACTCTACGTTTGATACTCAATACTTTCAACTTTGCTTAACTTTATATTCATTTTTTTTTCAACTTTCTAAGTAGTTTAGTGATGTGTATATAAAGAGATAATTTTTTTTTGTTTCTTTACTTGTATAGTGGACGTTCTGTTATGGATGGTTTCAATTATTTTCGACAGAACATGTGACTTTATCTACTTCAAACTAATGTAATAATAGGAGATAAAGAGAGAGTATATTTTTTTTAGTTTCAGATCATTTCATACTCACACTTTAAAAACAAAATATTCTTCAAAAAAGCCTTGGAACTGAATTTTTAATTAAAACGCCGTAGCAATGTCGACAGACGAACCAATGTCTAATGAATTGGATTCTATTCAAACAAAGATAAATGAAAAAACAAATGAATCGTTGGAAAGTACGCGTCGAATGCTTGGTATGGTTGATGAAACCAAAGATGTTGGTATTCGAACACTCGTTATGTTGGGTGAACAAGGTGAAAAATTAGATAATATCGAACAAAATATGGATAGAATCGATTCCAATATGGATGAAGCTGAAAGACAGCTCACAAATTTACAAAAATGTTGTGGCTTATGTGTACTACCATGGAATAAAAAATTTAGTCGACGAGCAACTTCAATGAATTCAAATGAAAATAAAGTAAAAACAACTGAACCAAAAGCTGCTATGTATGAGGACACAATGCGTGGTAATGGAATGCCGTCGAATGGTTATATTCCAAAAGTAACAAATGACGCAAGAGAAGATGAAATGGAAGAAAATTTACAACTTGTTCATTCATATGTTGGTGGTTTAAAAAATATGGCAATAGATATGGGTAACGTCCTCGAAGGTCAAAACAAACAAATTGATAATATAACTAAAACAGCTGTGAAACACACTGAACGAATAACAGTAGCCGATAAAGTTGCTCAAAAAATTATTCGTAATGCCTAAAATTTAGATGTCTTTTATATTAACATTGAATATTTTCTTACTTATTCTTTTCCTAAAAAGTCAAGCTATTAACACAGCAAAGCAGAAGTTCTATGCTGCAACAAATTATTCAGCCTCTTCATAGTCAGATATTTTGGATCGACCATGTGCTTCACAATTTGCTGAATGATAGTTACATTACGTTGGCAAAAGTTAAGATTGAAAACTATCACTCGATAATGTGTTTCTTAACATCGATAACGATAGCTATATATAGTACACGTTGATCTGACTATACTTTGATCTTTTCTGCTCAGATTATAGTCAGACCTAATCAACCATTTTTTTATTCATTGTCATTACAAATTAAATTACCGTTTTCTTTCTTGTGTTACATGAAAATAATGTGTATTTTGTAGTAAAAAAAATTTAAGAGTTATGACTAACTCCTATAAATTGATTTTTTATGTATAAAATTCAATATTAAAATATGAATAATAAATTTTTGATAGAATATTGTTTCATTTTTGGATTCTGCATCTGTTGCTGATATTTTTTATTTGATGTTTTGTCTTATCGTTAGCTTGATTGTGTGTTTCCATTTAGGTCCACCCAGTTTATATAGACATAAAATCCGCAAAAATGTCGATGCTCTTTCGCGCAGGGTGTAGAAAATTACATAAATGCTCCTAATCCCTCGTAAAAAAGTCATATTCTACATGCCTTTTTTAGGGATGTTTAGTTTCGATCGTCCAGCAACGAAGCAGCTTTGACCTTATTTTTTACTGCATCGACAGACCTTATACCGCTGTTTGACATACCACATGAAAGAGCAGCTCGAGTAGTACAAGTATCGGTATTAAAAACTTCTACTACTCTATCAGGGTGGCAGCTGTCACGAAGCTAACAATGAGAAAACGGCATTCAGTATTTTACCTCTTCTGAACGCAAAATAAAATGAAAAGTTCTTTTATTATAGATGAAAGTGAAGCTGAAGAGCTGCCTAATCTAATGGAAAAATAATTAAATCAATACTTATCTTCCTCTTTGAGCTTGACGTCCATCTCTAAAGACCCATTTTCAGAAATAGCCAACTTTCGGTCTCTCTAGCTCAAAAAGATGGATAAAGGAGGATGAAAACGAAGCAGACCAAAAACATCTTTGCCACCGTTTTGTAGAGCTCGATGAGTACGACAAATGCGGATAATGAAAAACGTCGATTGAAAACTTTTTGAGCTAGATGGATCAAAAGTTGGCTGTTTCTAAGAATGGGGTGTTTAAAGATGGACGCCATGCCCAGAGAGGAAGTTAAGTATTGAGTATCGACGTTTTTGTGGCTTTTATATCTGTATAAACTAGGCGGACCTAAATGGAAGTACCTTTGTGTATAATCGTAAATAACTGAATGTAGCTGACAATCATAGTATGGTATATGAATGGAAATAAGTAATAAACATATTAAAACAGGAATCCTTCGGTCTAAAATATCTTCAACATGAACTCAGTGTAAGATTTGGATACAAATAAAAGTGGAGCGTATGTTCTTTTAAGCGCAAAAAATTTACTTCTGCGTACTTGTCATATAACTTGATTTCTCAACAAACGATATTAGTATTGTCATGTAACAATATGATTTAACTCAGGAAAATTATTACAATATAATATGCTACACTATAAAGTGGGAAATTATTTAGAACTCGACTTTGTCATAACCAGGATTAACCAAAGAACTTTGTCAGTCCCTCTTTGTGATCTCTAAGTATTATACAACAATAATACTTCCCGAAGAAAATGCTGATTTGCAAAAACTGAGAATGCTTTCGGAATCTATTAACGTTTCCGATGTTAAATACTAAAAGGGGCAGAAATCTGTTACAGGATAACTTGTTGCAATGAAGGCTTTGATAAATGTGCAAGAAGCAAGAAAAAACTGATCTATTGGAAATCGAATTCAATTCTCCAACTGTTTACAAAATCGCTGTCGAATTTCAAGAACCATGAAATTTATTTATAGGAAATTGCCGCCAATATACCAACTTTTCAGAAATTCCTTATCGATTTTCTGACAAATGAGAAAATAAAAAGCCAATTCATAGTAAATCGAGCGGATTTTCTATAAAGTAGAAAATCAACATTTTCTAAACAGTCAGAAAATCGCTGAGGATTTTATGAAAGTTGGAAAACCGCATTCGCATTCGCTGGGAATTCATTTCGGCATGTAATGGATGATAAGAATGCGTATTGGTGTATATGATGTGTTTGCGAATTCTCTATTATTTTTTTACTAGTACAGGTCAGGTAGGAATCGATTACGAATTCTCTATATATTCTTTATATATAATTTGCTGCTTTTATTTAATACTTATGACTGCATGACGCTGTGAAATTTTATGACATAGACAGCTTGTATGAAGATACACATTGCAAGTCTTACAGTCGGTATGAAGACATGTTGCATAACAAAAAAGCAAAAATAATTCAGTTCGCCACGAACGCGAATACGCCATGATCTGCACTTTGCCTATTTACCAATGCCATCTATCTCAGAGGTCGGAAAAACGAGGAAATGGCGCGTTTCTTCTCCAATGACAGTCTTCGCATATCTACACACGCACTCATATGTATCGTTGTTTTACTATATTATCGACTGAAAGAAGTCAACGCATATGTATTTACTTATTTAATTTTACATGTTATATTATGTTCGTTTGGCCTATGCTGAATTAGAGAAAATAACCCAGACGTCGAAAACGGTGTAATTAATTGTCTATTAAACATCCATTTATAACCTATCCAAATGTTAGCTAAACCGACATTTTTATATCGTTTTTATGCATTTAAACTGGGAACGTTTTAGTGCCTAAACTTGGCAGCTTTATTACGATAAAAAAATGGACATTTTACGATGTTCGTTTTAAGGCCGTTATTGCACCATTGTGGATCATTAACAACCTATTGTTCGAACATTTTCTGAAAGCAGTTTTTTCTAGCTAGTAACTCCACAAAAGCTGAATTCACAAATTTCAATATTTTTCCTTAGGATCATGGTACCATCAGTGGTATTAGTCCCAGAACTAAAGGCTACTCCCTCGCGACAAGTTTCGATGACTTGTGTAACTGAAGAAAAGAAAATCTGTAAGCGTTTTCAAAAGAAGCAGAGGCAAATCTTTACGCTTTACTTGACCAGAGTATGAATAAGATCAAAACAGAGATACTCACCACATCTGCCTGTATTTGTAGGTGCGCTTAACTCTTCGTTACTTACAGACAACGTCTGATCGAGAAAAGATCGTACTGTGTTGAGATAATTGAATCTTAATCCTTGTTTAATAATATCTAAACGTTGTTTATTCATTTGTTTTGTTGTCATAGATTGATTGATAATTTCACGACAACGGTGTGTTTTTGGTTGGCTTTACAATGCCTGAACCTACACATGAACACATCTATGGCGTTAATAAATGGTAAGTGTTTTAGACATATTCTTATCTACAATTTTCTACTTATTCCATTGTTATTTTAGGCAAGATTTCAGTCGTCGTGTTTTCGATTATATGTATTTCTATCCGGTAGAATGGTTTCATGAAAATATTGTTGAACGTTTAAGAGGTCCATCTTATCCTTATTATCACCGAAAGTTTAATCCCGTTAAGACCATCGATGAATGTGAAATTGATGATAAAGTTTGTTTTTATGAAGCAAACCAAGTTTATGAGCGTGACAAACGTATTGATACGATAATTCTAGATATATTATTTACTCGTGCTGCTCGATGTAGTATCTATGAAGGAAAATTGGATCAGGATACTACATGTCGTAAAGAATTGGATGATTTATTTCAAGCAAGATGTAATTATTATCAAAAATATGGTGAAATGGGTGTACCACATTCAGTTATCGATGCTTATATGAAACAAAAACATCATATGGTTTATATGAGACGTCATCCCGATTATGATTTCACTGGAATTGATGATCAAAGAAAATTTGAACAAGAACGAAAGGCTAATATGAAAAAAATTCGTCAACCATTGCATTGATAACTTCTACCTATTGTTTTCATATCCACATCCTTTATCTGTGTTTTTTTTCTCCTCTGTAGAATATAAACGAACTTAATTTTTAATTTTCCTTAGTATTTACTATTTTTTTTTCAAATATAAAGGCACAGATTTGTTCGCATTTTTTTAGCTGCAGGAAAATGTTATGAGTGATGAAAACTCCAGAATTCATCTATCTATCAACCTATCAACAGCTGATTTTCAAACGTGATGGTTGAAAGAACTCGAAAATTAATGAAGATTATTGTGAACCATCTTTCTAAAATTTTTAAGAAAGTACGACGAAAATAATAGTGATTAGTTGATGCGGTCAGAAAGTGCGACCTTGCTTCGCTTTTTTATTCATAGTTGTTTCAAAACAATTGTCTAACTAAATCTGAGACGTTCACTGCATCGACTCAACATACTTGAGCAATTAAACTAGTCAACCACATTATATTGCGTAGCAATAATTTATATTACAAAAGATGATGCAATGTGACGTGTATATTTATATTCTTCATATATATTCTCTTTATATATATATTTTTTTATTTTCATATTTTTGAATTATTGTAAGTTCCGGAGTAAATATTAGTAACATGTACTCAAAAGTTGATCGTTTTGATGTATTTACAATTGTTGTTAATATTCTTTTATCCACACTCGGTGGGATCCTCGTTAATCGTCTTATACCAATGTTATCGAAATCATTCATCAAAGCAAATTTATTTGGTTATGATTTAAACAAAAGGAATAAAGAAGAAAAGAAGATGTATGTGTCACAACTTGTTCTACTAGTTTTAAAAGATTATTTCTATGTACTTTTTGTTTATTAATTCAGACCAGAAGCTCAAGGTGTTTTATCTGGAGGTGTATTTCTCATAGCAATGTTTTTAATGATAGCCATTGTTTTCTCTGAACATTTACATCCGGGAAGTGATTTTCCACATAATAAAGTAAGAAAAAAAACTACAGCATATATAACATAGTTCTTCCAGTCAGAATGGCATGTCTAATTAAAAAAAGATTTAGAAAATTTTAGTTCGACTTTAGTCTCGAACCAGAACGAAATCGAGAATATAAAGTCCCATTATATCATTCAGAAAGAAAATTTTAGTTTATGTCTTAGCGATGGTTTTGGAAGCTTGACTGATAGATACACAAATCAACCTTCCATTTATCTCGTTTTTCTCTAATTTTAGTTTCTTGAATATTTAGCTGCTTTATTATCAATTTGTTGCATGATATTGCTCGGATTTGCAGATGATGTACTCGATTTACGTTGGAGTGTTAAAGTATGTTTACCAATGATCGCATCTTTACCATTATTATTAGTCTATTTTGTTAATTATGGTTCAACAACAATTATTTTACCCAAACCTGTCCGTCCTATTATTGGAGCACAATGGAATCTTGGTATGTTTGTTTTAATAACAAATTTTGTTTTTCAAAATGAAACATCGTTCTTTCTATGATCAGGTATTCTATATTATATTTACATGGGAATGGTGGCTGTTTTTTGTACAAATGCCATTAATATTTTCGCTGGTGTTAATGGAATTGAGATCGGTCAATCAATTATTATTGCTGCCTCCATACTTGTGTTTAATTTTATTGAATTGCAAGGTAAATAAGATTTATCGAAATAATCCTTTACGTAATAAAATCAAGGCTAAAAAGTCTCCAGTTTGATCGTAATATCTACTCGTTCATCAGTATCCGATATATTTTCCATTTTTAATAGTATTTTTTTCCATAGTTTTTCCATTTTTTATTCAGGTAGTTGTTCTGAAGAACATTTGTTTTCACTATATTTCATGATTACATTCATTGGTGTTTCAATACCTATATTGATAAAAAACTGGTAAGAAAAAACAAGTCTTGTGTATGGATATATAAATATATATTCATCATCATTTTGACTATTTTAGGTATCCATCTCAGATATTTGTTGGTGATACATTATGTTATTTTGCCGGTATGACGTTTGCTGTTGTTGGCATAATTGGACATTTCAGTAAAACAATGATGCTATTTTTTTTACCTCAAATATTTAATTTTATTTTGTCTATCCCACAATTGTTTAAATTTATACCTTGTCCAAGACATCGTTTACCAAGGTAAACAAAACACTTTTCTCTTAACGTGCTAAAAATTCTGTTTTTTTTAAATCGATTTTTAGATTAGATCCATCGGCAAATGTTCTTCGTCCATCTCGAGTGGATTTTCGTAAAAATGAACTAAAACCATTAGGTTTATTCATGTTAAAATTCTTTTCAATTATAAAAATGATTCAGTATGAAGAGACGATAAACCAAGACACAAAAGAAATTATGATATCATCAACAAATTTTACGATAATAAATACAGCGTTATGTTGGTGTGGTCCATTACATGAAGAGAAACTAACAAAATTATTAATGGGTGTACAAGTATGTAGTTGTTTTGTATTTTAAAAACAATAGTTTAGTATGCTGATAAACACGAAGTTTGTTCGTATGATGCAATTCTCTAGCGCTTTTTACTTCTTCATGATAAACAACATTATTATTAATGGGTATTTCTACTTAAAAGTTTTTATTAAAACAAATTCTAAATTCAGTTTTTGCAATTTATTGCGTTATACTAGTCAAGAAAAGAAATCTGAAGGAATTTTAACTCGTTGCTAATCTCCTCGGTAACTTGGTGGTACAATGAAATTCTTTCACTCGTCGCTGATAGCTGTTTCTCACAGTAAATGATTTATCTGTAGTTAATTCAAGTTCAATCACTTTCCGCATTTGTCCTTTCTTGTGTATTAGTCATTTAACTAAACTTTTTCTTTTTAGATATTTTCGTCCTTATTGGCATTTTTTATACGTTATTATTTGGTCACCTTTTTTTATGAAAGAAACTGAGATGTTAATTGACGTGTAAGCTATGACATAAATTAGCTTTCTCTGACTGGTGAACAGTGAATGTTACCTATTGGTGCACAAACAAGTTAAGAAAATGATTAAAAATTGTTTATGAAAGTTTTTTTTTCAATCTTATTTTAATCTTCTTCGATATGTTATGAAATGGAGTATTTTTTCGTTGTTCGTTTTATTATAACTTTTATTTTATTTTGTTCTGATGATCTAGTGATCAATAAAAAGAATACATTAAAAATTCGATGAAACAAAGTTATTTTTATTTTCTATTTGGACACTTTGGGTACTGTATATCCACTGATCTATCTCATTCTATCACTGAAAAGTTTAACAGCATCATAGTTATAACTCAGTTCAAATATAAAACTCGAGTTAAGAGGAGTTGAAACATTCCTAAAAAAATTATTTAACTCGGATGTTCTACATTGTAAGCTTGACGAAACATACGTAAAAAAGTGAAAACCTATAACACAATATCAGATTTTCAACGTGATTTTATGTCATAATGCGCATTTGTTTCTCATTCTTCAATACTAACACTATCATTACATAAGAAAGAGTGAGAAAAAAGAATAGTCATCTATAACTGTAATGTAAGAATGAATACTTACTTAATTGAGGTCTGTTCTGTGTCTGTTTAACTCAAATGATAGCCTTCTCTAAATTCTAGTTACAATTTTTCATTCGATCTAATTTATAACCGTATCAACTTTTTCTTCAAGAAAAATCGTTCAATTTTTTTATCTATCAAGAAATGGTTTTAAACATTCCAGTGACTTTTATGCTACCCTAGAAAAAAAACTAACAGTGTATATCACAAAAAAAAATGGAAACTGGACTGATTAAATATTTGATATTTGATTTTGTCGGCAATAATGTAGTGAATTTGGAAAATACGGTCTTATGCACCAAGGGCAACGTGGTAATTTCAAATTATTACTATCTAACTTCTTTTCTATGATATTCGATTTCTTTTTTCGTATAAGAGAAACGAGCGAATAATCCTGATCATTGTAAACAGGTATATATTGTAGACGACTAATTTCTTTTTCAATACTAATTTCTTTATCAGTTTTAGATGTTTCCAATCGAACGAATGATGTTATGGATTTTGATCGTTGTTGTTTGTCGTGTGATTTTTCTAAATTCGTTATTTCATCTTTTGCTGATAGTGTTCGACGATCTTCTAAATATTTTAATGATGTATTATTATTCAATAATGATGTTGTTTTAGATTTTTTTGTTGATGCCACTTTTGGCGCATGAAAATTCAAACGACGATCGAGCATTTTTTTTGCTTGTACTATTCGTCGTGATGGTTTTTCGACGACTTGTTTTGCTTTCAATTGACAAAATGCAAAATGACGATCGTAGGCTTTTTCACCGAAATTTCGATCACAATATGAACAACCTAGGAGAAAATTGTGAACATTAATTGATATAGTTAAAATTTTCACTAATAACTCACAAAATTCTTTAATAACTGGTGGTACTGTTGTTGTATTATCAAGTTGATTTGATGAACGATTTCGTTTTGCACTACGTGTTTGTGATGGTCTGTCATAGTTTTTCTTAGATGTTTTTGATATTAATACTTTAACAGGTATAACATTATCACCCACTTGAACAGCACGTTGTTCCGATGAATCAAATGTTGAACGTTTTTTATTTGAACTTTTTAGACAAATTGTTACATGTCTATCGAAAGCGCTCATACCAAACTGTCTCTGACATATTGAACATGTTTGACGTTTTTCCGGTATCCCTAATTCTAATAGATTTTCATCCTCCTTCCGCATTGTTTTTTTCTTTGAAGTATACAAAGTCGTTAAATTTGTATTGTAGATATCCAATATCTATCTATGTGTATCGACGCGAACTAAACTTTTTTTTTTTTTGTTTCTTCGACCGGTGGCATGACTACACTATTTGTTCGATTCTGTTTGTATATCTTCATTCAATGTAGATGAGAACAATTTTAGTCTTTTTTTTTCGTATATACCACCACAAAAAAGTTCACTTTATCAGATAAATAATGGATAATTGATATAACTAAGCAACACAGGAAAATGTGTTGAATATTTATTTTTTTCAGATCAGTATTTATTCATGATATTCCTGATTAGTACATACACGTAAAAAAGTCGGTTGAAATATTTTCAAACTGTACATGAATACTTTACTGATAGTAATATAGAATGTTGAAGATATATGTCTTTTATTGTCATTGTTATATAAAAATACTTTATATTTGCTCACTGATTTTCTTGGTGATACCGATAATAAATGATATTACAATGTGTACGATTATACATACTCTTATAACATGTTATTTGCCATAATTTTATCCGTTTGAAAAGAATTTAAATCGTTGATTGAGGATGTCAATATTCGTACTATAATCTAAATTGCAAATTATTTCCATAACATTTTGTTCTCCAAAGTGGTTTGTCTAAATACATTCGACAATACGTATTGGATTAAAAATAATATTTTTATTTAATTACATTAACTCTTATTAAAATCAAATTTTTTATTAAACTGTAGCTAATCATTTAATAATCTAACATCGTCGATTAATTCATTAAGATATGGCGTGATATAATTGATGATTGTTCAAATGTAAATTAATCACTAGTTTTTACTCTAAAGTTTATGAAATCTATTGATTTATTTGCACATGTACAATAGGCTATCGAATAGTTTTCGTCAATATTAGCGCAAATTTTTTATTACAATGCATTATGCAGTTAAACATTATTGTCTTGAAATTAAACATAACTGGTATAAAATACTATTTTTCCACTTGCTTTATGAACTTGTATTGGTTGAACAGAATGTGCTGCACTCTCAAATATACTTCGTCCGATGATTCATGATTGAGACCACATTTTTAATATCCTTATTAACTAAATTTAAAAGTGATCTCAATTTTAAATGGAAAATTCTCTCATTGCTTGTAGAAATCATATGTGATCTCAATCAGAAATGGAGTATTTGTTCGTTTCACGCACTTTGTACGCTGTTTATAATTTGGTATCACTCTCTGATTTCAACTGATGTCTCCTATTGAGAAAGCAAAAGACTAAAGTATTTCTTAAAACTCTTGCTGAAAGTGCATCCATTTCTAAAACTGAGTTGAAAACGGCATTACTAACTCGAATGAGACTATAAAAATTGAGAGTATCATTAGTTTGCAACACAGTGTTTCCATCCTATTTCGTCCTAGATTACTGTCATGTCTATAAATCTATGTTTTTTTCGTATCACAACTGAAAGGGGCCAAGATCGTACGAAACTCTTCGAAAATCACTCAGTCATGCTGTGGAGTTAATATGCAGAGAATTTGGCTAAAACCAACACAGATAAAAGAACCTACAACTGTTATGTCTCAAATTTATGATCAACAAGTGAAAAAATTTATAATACTTCCAGAGAAAATGTAACTGCTGCCACTGTTTCCGTATATGACTCTATCAAACAATTGTTAAATTATAAACAGCGTAACTACAAATTGGTTCAAATTGGTTGTATTTTTTCATCATTATCACACTGACTCGAATAATAACACCTTCAATCGATCTTGTTAAAGGCAGTAGTATCACTATTGAATAATCCTTTTAATAGACATTTCTAGCGAAAATGGGAAGACTCTGTGAAGATAATTTATAAGATTTTTTCATTCTTTTGTACATGAACTAGAAACTGAATCTAGTGTTTTTATTTGAACTCTTCTACATAATGTATACTGTACAACTTCTCGACTTCTAGCGTCTCCAGGAGAGACTTTTTATCCCTTGGTACAACCAATTAGTGATAATCAATAGAGTGGATGTGTTCTGTTTAGAATTTAAATCACAAGTTTTTATACTAACCAATTAGAATAACCTAATAAGAAGTATTAATTTGCTAAATTAACGAATTAAGCTAATAATCACAGCATTATTATATGGCATTACTCAGTATAAAAAGAATTCTTCTATTACTTAATTAAATGATGTGTCATTCATGCAACATACTAAAACTCATCGTTAGGTTACTGATTTTCATCAGCTTTTACACAAACTTTCTCATAAGGCAAGGATGAACCTTTGCCTCTCAACAATTTCCATATGATCTACTGTACAATCTTGTAAACAACTTTGTAAGATCTGATGGAACTATTTGAACTAGCAACTATTTAGTATAGCACTTTTCGGCACCTAAAACTATCGATTTAGTCTATTAGTAACGTTCGCGCTTCGTACAAATTCAAGATGGCGGATGGGTAAACGGATTGAATCCTTAACTTATTTTTTTCCGTTTGAAACAAAAATAAAAGTATTATTGTCTTTTT